TAGATAAAATTATTCTCACAGAGGCCAGCGATCACTGCCTTAAAACCAAGCCTACTAGCGGGGTCTTACTAATAGCTGATTACATAGATCTTATTTTCTCCGAATTCGGAATTCAGCATCCAAACTCCAGACAAAAACAGCAAACGATCAACCTATATCCGGCGACGCAGAGCGTGCCAGTATCTGCGGGCGTCGTGGAGTGATTTAACAATCGTATCCGGATGAGCCTCAGATAATCGCCTCCGCACTGCATACTTATTCACTTATTATGGAGGCGCAAAACGCTCCCTACAACATGGTAACGTCCTGTCATCGGACTACCTTGTCACAAAACTAATACACTATGCGCTATTATCCCATTCATCAAGTTTTCAGCTGTCCCAGGTATACGAGGGACGCGGCAGACCCAGCGCCCTTGCCACGGTATCTAGCAAGAAGAAAGTGAAGCTGCTCACCGCTATACACGTATACATACTGACAAATGCTGAACCCGCTGAAATAAGTGAAGTGAATCAAGAGCACGTGCATTTTCAGGGTGATTTGGTGGCCAGTAGGCCACGACGCCAAAGCATTGGATTAAAATTTCGTTAACTAATTAACTTACTTACTTTACACTTATGTTGAGCTTTCCTAAGGCTCTATTGAGGAAGCCTTAGGGTGCATGTTTGCTCGAATGCTCGCTAATACAGTAGGGTTTTGAGCCCAAGCTACGTGATTATGGATGATTTTTTTTTTCTAGTTACAATAGGAGCATAGGATCCAGGCAGAATAAGAGCGCTTCACGATGAATGTCCAAAAATGACATTAAACAATGTGGTTACGTAACCAGGGCGAAAATAGACAGCAATCAGATAGGCCAAGCACAATAAATACCGAAAACGAACAATTCTAAACGTACCGATATAGGTGGTTTTGCCACCGGGGGCGGCACATAGGTCAAGAATGCGTTCTCCTGGTTTAGGCGCCAATGCCATGACAGGAAGCATGGAACAGGCTCCCTGCAAGATGTAATGCCCAGCCAAATACTCCGGCGTAGCGCCAAGTGGAACCTGCGATGAGTACACAACAAGCCCAACCTTGCTCCAGGGTTCCAGAGGATCTAAATTTACACCGCGATTGATCAGCGCCTTGAAAGTAAGATAAATAAGGGGGGAAAAGTACCTGGGCAAGGTCACGTCGTCTGGTCTTCAAAACATTTGTGCGAATGGTTATGGGTCGATCGGTTTCATTGGACTCAACGACCTCAAGAAGCTTCCGAAAATAAGAATTCAAACGAATTACCTCTTTCGGGAATAAGTCATATAGCTGGCTTATCATAAACTTATTGTAGGAGTACCTTTGACACAGATCATTAAGCAGCGTGTCTATACAAGCTTTACGACTGAGACCTTCAGGCGCACGGGCTTTGAAGTCTCCGAGAATATATGAAAAGTCCTTAATTCTCTGGACTAGGTGACCCATATCTAACTGCTGGCTCGGTTTATCGGAATCGACCAAGTTGGTAGCAACAGGTTCTGCCTCAGTTTCACTAAGATCTGCCGCATCTCCTGGCATGTCACCGACGCCGCTGTCATCATTGAGCTCTTGCATTTCTTCATCGCTGAGTAGATCGTCTAAGTTCTCATTGACCTTTGGGAAGTCGTCCGCAGTATCTAAGTCAATATCTTTTTCATCAAACAGGTTTCTCTTTTCATGTGGTTCGTTGAATTCAAGTTCGTTGACCTAAGAAATAAGTAAACAAGCAGTATTGCAAGCATACAAGTTTGGTTTTCTTTGTTTTCTTGGCAGTTTTATCAGTCAAAATACGTTTCTTTAATCTTTGTTTCTGTCTGCTTCCAAGTTTCTCTAAATGGGGTGAGTTAAAAGGACCAATAGTATTACCTTTTACACTGGTGACCTTGAAGGCAAACTGAGGATCTGGCTGATGTTTCGGCTTGTTTGCTTTCTTTTTGACAGGATAAGCCATGGTGCTAAAAATATAAATAAAACGGGGGTTACTTAGTAACAGAGGGCATAAGGGAACAAGACACAGATGAAGGCGGGTTACCCAGGAAAGGAGGGTTACCCGTTAGCCAAGCTGC